TATTCCTGTTGTATTTGCAAGTTGGCATCCTCTAAGAAGGAATAAGCTTTCCTTTCTTCCTTGATTATTATTATCATTATTATTATTACTATTTTATTTGACAGACAGAGATCACAAGTAGGCAGAGAGGCAGGCAGAGAGAGGAAGGGAAGCAGACTCCCTGCTGAGCAGAGAGCCTGATGTGGGGCTCGATCCCAGGACCCCGGGACCATGACCTGAGCCGAAGGCAGAGGCTTTAACCCACTGAGCCACCCAGGCGCCCATATTATTATTATTTTTAAGTAGGATCCTTGCCCATGTGAGGGTTGAACTCAAGACCCTGAGATCCAAGAGTTTCATGCTCGCATAAACAATCTTGGAATACTGAAAAAATAAAATAAAAAAGGTTTCATTCTCTACTGACTTAAGCCAGCTAGATGCCCCAAGTGATTAATTTTTTTTAAATTAACTTTTTATTTTACATGTCATGCTTCAATCCAGTACTGTCATTTTTGTGATGCTCAAATTGTCCCATAGTTGGCCATGGCAGCTCCTTCTGACTTCAGTGCCCTTTTGACATACCCCCAACATTTCTGAGTAGTCCTTTACTTTCTTGTACAAAATACTGCATACTTAAGTTGCACTCTCTCTGCCCCACCTGGTATCAGCCATTACTCTAAGGAGCCAGGGTTTAGTAGAAAATGTAGTTTAGAAATCAAGATCTGGATGTAAGATGTGTTCATTGTTAAAAGGTGTCATTGCTGCTGCTGGTGTTTTTTTGTTTTTGTTTTTTAAAGATTTTTCTTATTTGTAAATAAGTGGTGTGGGGGGCAGAGAGAGAATGGAGAGAGGGAGAAGCAGGCTCCCTGCTGAGTAGGGAGCCCGGCATGGGGCTGTGTCCCAGGACCCCAGGATCATGACCTGAGCCAAAGGCAGAAGCTTAACTGACTGAACCACCCAGGCTCTCCCCAAGGTGCAATTGCTTCTAGACCCACTCAGCAAACAACTAGGAAGTGTATGAATGTGCTTGTGTGTCTATATATATTTTTAATGTACAAATGTAAATATAACATAAAAATCATGAGTTCATATTGATACCTCTAGTGCAAATCCAGCATTCTAGATATATCACAGTTTCTCAATAGGAGGACATCAAAACAAAACAAAACTACTTTACAAATTCTGTTGTAAAGTAACCAACTTAGTAGTTGCATTCACTATTCTGGATATATTACACCGCTGGCTTCTCATCTTTTTTATTTTTAACAGTTGACAATGTATAAAAAAATTGTCAGTGCATTAAAAAAAAAGTTGTCAGTGTATCAACTCAGGATGTGTGGTCAGTGAGGTAAATGAATATGTTGGTACCAGATTAAACCTCATGTCAGACTTAATTCCTTTTGTCGGAGTTACTTTAAAAAAATTGTCCCTGTCCATCTGCCAGCCTCACCCATAATTTGGCATACTGCTTAAAGAAATCCAGTTTTTTAAACTTTATATTGTGTTGATATCAAACAGCTCTAAATATGGACTTAAACACCCAGCTACAATAATCACCATCTCAGCTCCTCTTGAAGGAAATCCTAGATGGCATATAAACTTAATCAGTAAACATTTCTGAATGTAACTCTTAAAAATAAGGACTTTTCTTAAAAACAATCATAAATCTATTATTTAGCTAAGAAAAGTTTTAAAAAAATTAGAAGTTTTAATTTAATTCCTTAATATAATTAAATATGTAATGAGTTTTAAATGTTTCCCAGTTATCCCAGATTATTTTTTACAGTTGGTTCAAATCAGAATCTAAATAATGGTCACATATTGTGTGTAAGTCTTTTATTTCTCTTCTAATGTATAGCTTCTATTCTAGTTCCTTCCCCCACTCCCTCTTTTTTCCTACAAATCTGGGTTGTTTGCAGTATAGATTTTCTCTCATTCTGGACTTTTCCTGATTGCATTCTCATGCTGTCATTAGCATGTTCCTGTTTCCCCTCAGTGTTCTGTAAACTGCTTCTGTGATCTAGAGGCTGAATCAGATTTAGATTTGCCTGTTTTATAAAGAATGCTTCACCAGTGATATACTTCCATTAGGCACATTAACGTCCATATATTTCTCATCTCATATTTGTGGCAATTGATCATTACCTAGATTAATGTTTTTCATTAGAGATTAGCAGAATGATTTTGCAAATACATGATTTTTCCATTTTAGTTGTTTTTTAAATTTTTTCAGTAGGGGTCAGTTTTTACCAACTCTGGATTTACTTAGAGGTATAGTTCATATAGAAAGATAAGTAAAATACTCAGTTCACTAGTTTCAGAATAATGAATTGATTCTGTAGTATCCTCCAAAAAGTGATCAATTCATTTTTTATAAGAACCGTTATGAACTCATGAATTCAAACATTTTGCCTTTTTTTTTTTTAAAGATTTATTTATTTTAGAGAGAGCATGAGTGGGAGGGGCTAAGGAAGCGGGAGAGGGAATCTCAAGTGACTCCATGCTGAGTGTAGAGCCTGACTCAGGGATTGATTTCATAGCCCCAAGGTTACAACCTGAGCTAAAACTGAGATCTGGATGCTTAACCAGGTGCTCCTCTAGGCGCCCCCATTTTGCTGTGTTCTAATCCATTGCAATTACTGTGTTTTTTTTTGTTGTTGTTGTTTGTTTTTTTAAGATTTTATTTATTTATTTGACAGACCGAGATCACAAGTAGGCAGAGAGGCAGGCAGAGAGAGAGGAGGAGGAAGCAGGGTCCCTGCAGAGCAGAGAGCCTGATGTGGGGCTCGATCCCAGGACCCTGGGATCATGACCTGAGCCGAAGGCAGAGGCTTTAACCCACTGAGCCACCCAGGCACCCCTACTGTGTTTTTTTTTTTTTTTTTTTGATGCTTAGATTATCCCACTTTAGTGGGAGCCTTTTCAGGTTGGCTCCTGAGTCCCATGGACACAACTCTAAAAGTCTTTCATAGCTTAATTGCTTTCTGACATGACAAGTTTTACGCATTTTCTGCCCGTCATACCTGGAGTCAACTATTTTTCTGAAGAGCCCAGCTTCCTTGTAGAGGGAAATGGTATTTAAGATCCATAATCTGGGAACCAGAAGCAAAAGTGAAAGAGCCATTTAAAAAATTTTTTTTTTCATTTTTTTAAGATTTTTTTTTATTCTTTGTGAGAGAGAAAGCACAAGCCGGGGGAGAGGCAGAGGGAGAAGCAGACTCTCCACTGAGCCAGGAGACTAACATGGGGCTCGATCCCTGGACCTGGAGATAATGACCCTAGCTGAAGGCAGATGCCCAACCATCTGAGCCGCCCCCCCCCCCCCCCCCGCTTTTTTAAAACAACAATAAATGCTTGCTCTCATGCAGTTACTGTGGGTTAGAATTCTGAGGCAATTTAGCTGGGTGGTAGTGGCTAGGTATATGAGCAAGTTGATGCTGGCATTGGCAAGAGATTTCAGTTACTTATCATACAGACCTCTTCTTGGGGCTGCACAAGTGTCTTCATGACATGATGGCTGGTTTCTCCCAGAGCCAGTGATGCAAGATAGCCAGTACCATCCTTTGATTCATTTTCCTACTAGACAATAGTGTATATTGCTCTGGCTTTGGATCCAGACTACCTGGCTAACACTTCTAGTCTGGGGGGGTAACTAAGTTATTTAACTCTTTGTTAAACTTTCTTTAGCTGACATTTTAAGATAATGATACTTACCTACCTTAAAGGCCCTGTAATATAGAGTCTTTGTGAAGAGTCTGACAATTAGAACAGTTTCTGACACTTAGCACTATTGGTAACCATTCAGCCCACTGCTGTTGCTATTACTCCCACGACCACTGGAATGAACTAAAGACCCAAAACCTAGCCAGTAAGTTGCTCTTGACAGAAACAGTTTTTCTTCTGTTTACCAAATATTGCCATGTCAGAAAAATTGCTTACAGATTCCAGATCCCCAGAGTATGATAGAAGATTGAGGGTTAGAGAATTAATAGCCACACCTGTTTGATCATGTATATGGAGGATCTTTCATTCCTCTCTGTGTTCATGGAGATTTTTAGTGCAGGATATGTGTCCATATAATGTGACCCCAGGAGTCACCCAAGTTCCCCCCACCCCCAAACCTTTTTATTTTAAAGTATGGATCCCTAGGAAGTTACACACACACACACACAAACACACGTACAGGAGGGTCCAGTGGACCCTTCACCCAGTTTATACCCCAATGGCAACTATTGTTGTAACTAATACAGTATCGATTTTCACTGATGAATTTTCATTCACTAGAAATTGAACAGCTCTTACATGCTAGGTTTTTGAAGGCATAAGTGATTAAAACTGACCTTGAACAGTTCAGTCCTTCTCTCTGGGTTCTCATTGTTTTATTTTTTAAAATGTGTGTGTGTGTGTTTGGTTTTTTTTTTTGGGGGGGGGGGCTCTTCATTGTTGGAACTTGCATTAGCAGTTTCTTTAATGCGAAATATTGTTATTTCTCACACTCATATTTGCCTTGTTTTATAATTTTTGCATTGTGTCCCCATCTTTCATTTATAATCTTTACAGCATCAGAACCATGTTGCCTGCATTGTCTTATTTTAATCACGTGCCAGTTTTGCAGTGCTACCAAGTCTGGATCTGAGAGGCAGCTTGTGTGAATCATTTACATACATTCCTGTTTATATTCCCCAGATTAATTTGCAACTTTACATTTTTTATCCAATTGCATGTTTAAATCAGAGTTTTAATAATTCATTTTAAGGAATTTGTCATAAGTAGGATTTAAAATGGGCTCAGAGAGCAGAAGCTATTAAACAATAGCATAAACCAGACAATATGTAGGACTTTAAATAGTAATTGTTAAGCATTTGAATGTTCCCAAAAATATGAGTCTGTGTATCTATGTGTGTCTCTACATGTTATTTCACTAGGGACTTATACAGATAGGTTGTGCACAATATCCTTGCTGTTATTGTCAGCCATAAACAAATTACACGTATTTAACAAGTTAATGTCAGATTGGCCAGGAGCCACTGGGAGGTGTGTTCTTAGTGACATCAGCTGGCAAAGAGCCCTAGTAACAGGGAGGCTTGGAAGGGTAGTGGAGGGAGAGGAAGCAGTAGGGAGGAAGAAAAAGAGAGAGACAGAGAGACTGACTGTATCTGGGGATTCTGGCAAGGTGAAGAGCTGGTCTGTTTGGCAGGACCTTCCCATCTGGGATCCATCTGTGTTTCCCTGGAATGGGACAGGCAGCTCTAGTCAGTGAGAAATCGCAGATGTGAGAGAGCTGACACATGTCCAGCTAATGAAAGAAGGAGGAAGGCTGGTCTCAGATTGGGCTTTGAAGATTAGGAGGAGGAAAAGAGGAGCCTTTTTATATTTATTTTGAATAAATTTGGTATATTAAGTATCTGGATTGTTATAATCTGGGCATTTGAGGTAAGTACATTTTGATTTAGTTTTAGGGGCTAAAGTGGGCAGTTGTCTGCCTTTCAAAGCTTTTTATTTCAGGTTACGGTCATATGAATATTTTTACATTTGATGTGAGTTTAGCTTTTAGCTACTCTTTGTTGATTTGATGCTTCATTTTCATATTTCTGTATCATTTTTTAGTTGCCACCTTTATATTTGAATGCCATGCTTTTTTGAATAGAAACTTGAATGAGATTTAACAGGAATTCTGTGGCTAGGGAAGTAGTCTCACAAATACTGTTGTAAGGTATTCCGCATAGAGTCGATGATATTTTGAGGGTAATTTTTTTTCTCCCTTAGTATGCATGCTACAAATAGGCAGTGTTAAAAAGATGGCTCATAGAACACTCTTCCTTATTGTCAGATTTTATTTCAGTGTATTCAGGTAAATTAAAACCAAAAGTGAATTACAGTAAAACTAACAGTATCTTTTAATTTTAATATAGTCAGCTCTTTTTTCCTTCATTACATTTTACCCCATGCTGTTTTCTTCTGTTCACTTCCTATATACAAAGTAAACAAATAACATCACAAATATGACTTGAATTGTGAGTTTGGAGTAGTTTTGTTGTAAAATAAATTTGTGGGTACATAGCTACTGTATTATAGTCCTTGTTATTTGTGGAGTATAATTTAGCTTCTTTGCTATTCCTGTACATTGTATTCATGTCTTCAGGCCTCCAAATCCAGATACCTAAGGGAGAAGCATGGGTTTGGGAGTTACGCATGTTATACAGCCATTTTTCACTGGTTTTCTGATTTCAAGCATGCTACTTACCTTCTTGAGTTTTTATTTTGTGCAATTCCTGCCTGTTGTCATTATTGGGAAAATTTGTCTGGGACATAGAAGGCATTCAAGTTAGTTTCAGAAGTTTCTGGATGCTTATTATTTTGTTGTAATTGGTTCCAAAACCCTTTGCATTTTTAAAAAGATCTTATTTTTTAAGTAATCTCCACATACAACGTGTGGCTTGAACTCAAAACCCCCAGATCAAAAGTTGGACAGTCCACCTACTGAGCCAGCCAGGTGCCCCATAAACTCTTGGCATTTTTAACTCTCAGGCTAAAAATGGATCTTTTCTAGAACCTTCCTCTCACTGTACCTACCTCCTAGATATCTGTATCTGTTATAAATGTTACATGCTTTCTTTGTTAAGCCTTGCTATGATTATAAATGATTTGGAAAGCATTTTCAGTATTGTAATGTAAATGAGCCTGGTTTAGCAGAGCAGAACTTCTGAAAAAGTCAACAGGAGTGAGATACTGAATTATGCTACTTTGTTACATTGTTTAAATTTTTTGTTGTTTTTGAAAACTACTAGTTCTCAAATAGGAATTTAAAATATATTAATTTCTTAAAGTTCTTCAACCTTCACTTACATCAGTTGGGTATTTCAGTTTTTCTTTCAGTGTTGCAGTCAGATTTCTTGAGGTGGGGGGAGACTTTTTAAAAGAATTCTATTTTACCAGATTGGCTAAATGATGCAGTGTGAACTTTGGAGTTTTTGGGGTTTTGTTTGTTTGTTTGTTTTGGGGGTTTGGGGAGGTTTTTCTTTCAGTTTCTGTTTTGGTAGGGGAACAGTTAGCATCTTTAGGGACTTGTCTGAATATTTGAGAAGGCGTATGGAATTTACATGATCCTTCAGTGAGCAAGCACTAATTGCACCCTGGGAGATAAGCTCCTAGGTTGAGTAGAGTATAGGGTAGACTGTGTCCACTGTGAAGGCTTTAGGGATTTGCATATACTGTATGCCCATACTAGGAGCACTTGTGATGCTAGAGTTTCAAGAAGCATTAAAAAATGGTAAATGATACTGTTTTAATATGTGAAGATCCACTGACTGCATCTAAAGGTGGTTGATTAGAAGTCGTAGTAGAACCACACAGTTCAGGAGACTAGTTTGTTACTAAGATATTAAGGTAATCTTTGAGTTGAATACTAAAGAAAATCACAGTATTTTCTGAAGACTGAAAGCATTGTGAGTTTTACTGCTATGCAAAGAAGAATCAATCTTTTTTTTTTTTTCTTTCTTTCTAAGTAGGCTCCTCCCCCAGTGTGGGGCTCAAACTCATAACTCCGAGATCAAGAGTCTCATGCTCTACTGACTGAGCCAGCCCGGTGCCCCGGAAACCTAAACTGGTTTCCAGGAGTGACCCAACCAAGGATTTTTTCATATCAAGGGGCCATTTTGGACTGAAATTATATAATACAACAATGTCAGTAAACTGGAGATGAGGATAATGACATTTAAATTACGTCTTTGGAATATCAGGGAAGGACGATGAGTTCGAATAAACATCTTTTATATACAGCTCGAAGAATTCAGGTGAATCTGAAAGATTGGTTGTATCAGTTCATTGAAGGTTATAAGTCCACTCATGCTAGAAGTGCTCATAAGACCCCATTGATGACCTATGAAAGATGTTAGGATTGAACAAGATCTTAAGGACAACCTAATGAAGTAAATTATTTTATAGATAAGGAAAATTGAGGGAAGGGTAGTGGAGTGGTAAAAGGTCTGCTTGGCCTAGAGTTTAATTATCCTAGTTGGTGGTTGAACTTAGACTAGAATTGTCTTCCGAACTTTCAGGACATTCATTTTGCAAACATTTTTTGATTGCTGGTTGTTTGTGATGATATAGTAAGGTATACAAAAGTCACAAAGAGGAGATAAAATGTAAATCAATGCACAAAAGTGGGTAAGTCCTGGAAACTACTGCCAACTCAGGCAATCATGATTGCACCTGTATGAGGCACAGTCTTTGAGCAGAACTTAGGACAGAAGGATTTAGACTCCTTGTCCAAAGAAGCATGGTTGGGTGTCTGGAAAGGTGGTTTCCATTAGACTGCAGTGCCTTAAACCAGTCTTTGTCAAATGCATAGCTACACAGTGTTAATTTCTACAGTGCTTTCGATTATGCCTGGCTGCTGTTACCTTTCCAAATCCAAGAGTAACTGTGCTTCTGAGATAGAGAGAGAGAGAGAGATTCCCCCACCCCTTCTTTAAGCATCAAGATCTTATTTAAAAGGTTTCTACTGTGGTCTCTGTAGGTTAATTTTCCCTCCAAGTTCAAGTCAGTAAATACAGGAATTAGTGATGACTCTATCTAGGAGAAAAATAACCCACTATAACTGGCTTTTATATTCTCTCTGGTTGATGGGCTTTCCAAACAGTGTTTAACTTTTAAGACTTAGGTGACGTCACATTTATGCTGGGAAACTTAAAACGCATATGGATTTACTTTTCTAAAGCATGCCTAAACCTGCAAAAGAAACTTTTTGTGCTTTGTTTAAAGCAACAGCTAGTGGAAATCCTGTTATCATTCAATCCTGAGCAGCTTGTTAGGGATACCTAGCAAGTTACAATTCTGTATAGAATGTATATGTATGTGTGTGTAGTTGCTTCTCATAGCTGGAGTTCTCAAGTAAATAGAATATGTATTTTCATTTGGCTGTGATAGTTATAACTCGTGGAGGAAAGCCAGTGAAAAGATTATGTATAGACTTTGGCATTAGTAACCTTGAGCTGACTTAACCTTCACCTCTAAGCCCCATTTTGCTCACTTGTAAAATAGGAGTAAAAATAGATGTTACTGTGGGTTCTAAGAATTAAAGTAGAAAGTAACAAGCATGATGCTTCCTGCACGAACACTAAATAAGATTTATCTTTCCATATGATTTTTCTTAGTCCCCCTTAAACATCAAAGTCCCATCCCAGTAAGCCAACAGACTTAGTTAAAATGTGTTTCTTGAGTATTTTCAGGAAGTCTCCAAACTGACAGGGAACCACCCTGTTTCCTTAACTAATTCTTAGTCATGGGAGAAGGGTGCGTGTAGAGAATGCAGCAGCCTTAAAAACTCAAACCTGTTGCTGTGTGGCAAGCTGTTAATGTTTAGGGACCTTGCATTACTTACCCTGCTGGAAGAGCTGGGGGATGGGCCACTTGGAGGGTGACAGATGTGCCCTCTGCTGCCGGCGGGCGCGTGCCGGCTCTGTCCCTCTGCTCCCAGCACCAGGTGCAGCCATTGTTCTGGCTGGTCTCTCTTCATCCGGCCTCGTCTGTTACTCTGCTCTTTCTAGCTCATTGTTTCTGTAGGAAATTAGCATTAAAAACCCATCTGAAACCCCCATGTCCCTCAACTGCAGGTGACTGTTATTGGCCCCAGCTGCCACCCTTGCGCTTGATTACTTCCATATGGGTCTGTGCAAAGAAGTAGTAGCCATTTATTGATTTCCACCACAACCCCCACCTCTATTACTCAAACTATAATACCCTGAAATCTATTAGACCCCCAATAGGCTGTATAGCTCAGTTGGCACTACAACTGTGATGAACGTTTTACAAGCAAAACTAATTACACCCTCTCCCCCTTTACCACCTCCTACCTAAATATTAAATGTAAAAAGACCAGAGTGTCATAAGTGGAATAGTACATCTTTTTAAATGTCTAGAGATGAATCTGTTTCTGAGTGGTAAAACTTTTTAGACTTTGGATGGGCTTCTATGGAAAATTTTAGTCATTGGTTTAAATATTTCATACCACACCCATAACATTCAAGCAAACCCATGCCCAGTAAGCTGCTAAGGTGGGGGTAGGGGACACAGAAATACTGGCCATTTGCTTTTCAGTTTGTTAAATTTAATTGGGGTGGGCAGTACGTTAGGAAAGGGGCCTAGTTGAAAATGATAATATGTTTTGTGGGAAAACTGCAAGCAATTAGAATTAGTTAAATCCTTTAATTTTGCATTTTGTTCTTTGACTTGTGTGTTTGCACAAATGGTTTTCCCGGTTTATTTATTAGGGTAAATACCATAGTGAGGAATTGGGTGTCCTAGACTTCTTTCTTCCTTCATCCATAAACAGATTTAAGTGTTCTCTTTTGGTTATTGGTCTAGATCAAGACTGTAATCTCAACCAGGTTACCAGGCTTAAAACCCTAATTCAAAATTCTTCTTGGCTTCTG